ATTTGATAGAGATATTCAAAATCTTCAGGACTCTGGATAGTAGATAGGAAAAAATCTGTTCCCATTCATGGAAGGGGCGAGAATGAGAGGGGACATACTTAAGGTAACTGGCAAAAGAAATAATGGAGAATGAGAAGAAATCCACTCAGTGAGTAGTTGACCTGAGAACAAGATGGAGGCAGGTTTTATTGAGGCATTCAAAAGGGAATTGGATTTTTATCTGAAAAGGAAAAGCATGCAGAGTTACAGGGAGAGGCTAGGAGAATGGCAGTAGATATGTTGTTTATTTAGAGAGCTGGTGAAAGACCAAAATGCCAAATGGTCTGTTCCTGTACTGTTAACAATCTGAGATCTGTGAAACTTAATTTGTCCAACCACTGATAGGGGCATGAACTGAAAACAGCACAAATGCGTCAACAAGTTTAGTGAATGAGGGAGCCAAATGTCCATCCATTAACAAATGAGATTTAAGGGTGGAGAAAGAAACAGGAAAAATCAGGTAAATTAGAATTAACTGTGAACTTTCATTGCTGCAGGTAGCAAATTGTTCCTGGATATCTTTTTTTTCTGTTTTTTTTCTTTCTGCTTCCGCTTTTTCTTTCTCTCTCTTAATCCATTTAGATATAATTTTTCTTTAAACTAAAATGAAATCACGAACAGAAAGAGAAATTAAAACAAGGAAAGCAAGACTGGATTAAAATATAGAGAGAAAAATAGAGGAAGAAAGAAAAGAAGTAGTAAAAAAAAAATTTTTAAATGTCAAGGAACAACTTACTGCCTGCAGCAACGGAAGCTCACAGTTTCAATTATTCCTTTTTCAGGCAGGTTAGGTCAGGAATTGCATGAATCTGTTCATTGAGGAGGGATCTCAAATGGTTAGGTAGCAGCCATAAATTCCCAAGGTGAATCTAATGGTTATTTAATGTTGTAATGCCTTAATTTCCTGATACTCACAGGGAGATTGAGGACATTCTGCTGATTTTGTGATCCAATTATGGCACAGAGTAAATCGTCCACTAACTTTTGACAATTTGCAATTTATATTTCTTTCTCACCATAAGCTGCTGCAATTTTACTTTAATAATGGTAGCAATGATAAATTTGTCACAGTTAGGGCAGTAGAATCTGGCCAATATAGTGCCTTATCTACATTACATAAAAATAAATCAAATTACATCTGGAAATGTACTTTACACACGAGTTGTATGGTTGATAACAAACAGGTCATGAATTCCACAGTCAATATGCAGGAAGCAAACACAATTGGAATATTCTATCCCTCTCAAAAGATTCCAACATTCTCAATCATCTTCTATACTTCAACAGAACGTAATTCCAACTTCTTAAAGACGTCTAGGGTTTCCAAGGTTTATCACTGGCTGTCTTACTTCTTTTACCTTGAGGTTTAGATGCTGTGTGGATTCCACTCTCTGAAGTGATGCCATGAATGCTTCAGTCTGGACATTCAGTTCATCCACCTTCAATAAAAACAGCACATTAGATACCTGCTACCTGGGAACATGACCACACATTATGCACAGACAGTGTTTCTGGAATCTGGAATTCCCTACCTGCAAAGATGGTGGAACTTGATTCCATAAATAACTTTAAAAGGGAGTTGGACAAGTATTTGAGGAAGAGGAACTTAGAAAGTTAGAGAAAAAATGCAGACGTGTGACTGAGTAAACTGCTCTTTCGAAGAGCTGGAATTGGCACATCAGACTGAATTGGCTACTCCTGTACAGTACGTTTCCAAGATTCTGTTACAGAGTCAGCAAGAGTCCATCAAATCTACTCAACTGCAACCAGATCATTACTGATCAATTTGTGGTACAGGCGGGATAGTGAGATATGTTACTGAAACAGAAATCCAGAGAAAGTGAGTTCAAATTCCATCCTGGCAGATTGAGAAATCAAACTTCTTCAATAAAAAATGATCTGTAAGAAAATCTTTCCACTGCCACAATACACTTGTCAACCATATTTCACTGGATCACATTCTCAATCCTGAAGAGAGGGCTATGGGGTCAAACTATGTCTTTTGAGGTTTAAGCATGTGATGTAACATTCCCAATACTGCATGGATTATAGTGGTTCAAGAAGGAAGCTCACCACTGCCTTCTCAAGAATAACTAGGGATGAGCAGTAATTGCTGGCCAGCCAGCGATACCCATGTCCCACAAGTGAATAAATAAAGGAAGCACTGCAAAGTTGAAAGGCCAGTACTGAGGAAGCCGACCACTGTTGGAGGGGAGTACTGAAGGAGAGGTGACCTATCAGATGTGCAGTAATTAAGGAGCACTGCACTAATGGAAGGGCAGTATGAAAGGTGCAGTACTTGCCAGAGCTAATCTTTTGCCATTTCTGCTAAGTAAATTTAAAGGCTCTGCTCATACAACATTGAATTGTTGTTGTATTCAAAGTTGTATTCAATCAGCTTTTAGTTTTGTTTCTGGCCTTTTCTCCTGCATGCTTAATTTCATTATGTTGCTGCTGTTAATGTGGCATAGAAACAGTGTTAAAGTAATTTCTGAGGGTTAATGAAAATGCCTGTTGAGGATACATTGTCATTCTTCTTTGTGGGGAGGTGTGATTTATATGATGTTTTAACATCATGTACGTTAGAGTTTGGGTTTTGAATGAGTGGCATGTGGGTTCGCTCTTTATATATGAAGGGTTTAATGATTAACTTAGTAGTATTTCTGGAGCCAAGACTTTTTTGAAATCCGTTTCAGACAGGGAGTCCCTGGAGTGATAATAGTGATTCTACATTTTTCTCACTGCCTCCAGTTCTCCTCTACTCATTCTTCTACATGATGTTGACTGTCTCTGTGCGCTGCTTTCAACTGTTTGTCTAGATAATGCTGATTATCTCCGGTTCCTCTTTTGGCCGGTTCTTCTTTGTGATGGTTTAATGTAGTCCATATCCTTTGAGGATCTGTTAGCTTTATGAAATGTTAAGACTCTGTTGACCACCGCACCAACTGCTAAGCAAATTTTAATAGTTTGCTTTTCTATGTCAGAAACACCTGAATCTAAGGAGGTGATGGTGTCGTCGTAATGTTATGGAATAATAATTAGACGCCTGAGAATAATGTTCCGGGGACAGGGTTTCATATCACACCAAGGTAGGTGGTAGAGTTTAAATTCAGTCAATAAAATCCTGAATTGAAAGCTAATCTCGGTAAAGATGCCATGAAGCTACCATCAATTGTCATAAAAACCCATCAGGTTCACTAATGACCTTTCGGGAAGAAACCAGTCATCTTAGACTGGTTTATAAATGATGTACAGCAATGTGATTAACTCTTAACTGTTCTCTGAAATGGGTCAGCAACTCGGCTCAAGGGCAATCAGAAAGGAGCAATAAATGCTCACCTGGCCAGCAATGCCCACATCCTGTGAAAGAATAAAGAAAGAAAACACCTGAATCTATAAACTATAACAACAAATACTGAAAATTTTGAATTATGTTAGGAGGTCTGCAATATCCCAGTCCAAAATAAGGAATTTTATGGACATTCTGACCATATGCTTTTGACCTGCTGATGAGTTACTTTTCTCAAGTGAGTTAAATTGTCCTCTCAAAAGGGATTTGTTTACCAGCACAGTGTGTTTTCAACACTCCAAGGCTATAACAAACAAAGACATTAAAGGATGTCTAATGCACTTTTGGAGGTGAGGTTTTGGGGGGGAGGCGGTGGTGTGGTAGAATGAGTTGTGGCTGCAAGGGTTGACGGAGAAATGAAGAGGTTGCAAGGGATTGGTAAAGGAAAGGAGGCTGCAAGTGATGTAGTTCAAGGCAGAAACTACAATGGGGGTAGGGAAGAAGATGGGTGAGGGTTGAGGAAGAGGTTGGCAGGAGAAGAAGGTGGGGAGTGGGAGTAAAGAAAGTGGGGGTTCGGGTAAAGAAGATGGGGGTTGAGGGGACGAATGTGGGTAGTGGGGAGGGGAGGGGGGAAGAAAAGATGAATTTGCAAGGGGAAGGAGAAGACTGCAAGAACTGGGGATCGGGGAAGGCAGATGTTGAATGGGTGTGGGGTAAGGAAGGATAAGGACGAAGGAGGATATTGTAAGGGGTGGGGTGAATGAGGTCACAAGAAGAGAGGGCAAAGGTGGCAATACGGTTGTGGTGAAAGAGGAGTGGGGAAAAATGAGGAGGCTACAACAATAGGGTTAAAGCAGCTGCAATGAGTATGGGAAAGTAAAGGATGTGAACAGGTGGGGATAGAAGGAAGACAATGAAAGATGGAGGATGCTCATGCTGAAAGTAGGGAGAAGAAGGTGAATGCACAGCAGAGAGAAAAAAAAAGAGGCTGGAAAGAAGACAGAACCAATTTAAACTTGTCAACAATGGAACATTCAACTATATGCAATTTAGGATAACTTGAAATCACTGAGGTAATGAGTTTCTTGAAAATGAATCTGAAATCTCTAGTTTAATGCTACATATGATTAGGAGATACATTTGACCAGAAATGTACTGGATGCTATTATGCCGAACACCAATTGTTCAATTTAAATCTGCAATTGAGATTGGAGATGCAGTAAACATCTGCCTGGTTAAAATGCTCCAGCTTTGTGTATATGCAATGGAAATGCATTAGTTGTAGCCTCATGAGTTTGCAGAAGGTATGTTTAGGGTGATGGCTTATTTTTTGAGTAGAAGTGCATCAGATAATTTGAAAAACTGTTGTGTTGCTAACTTATGCCCATTGTCATTTGTCAATTTAAATACTGTGGCAGTTACTTTACCCACAACAAGCTACCACATGAGATAAGTGACCAAATAATCTGCTTAGGTGTTAGGTGTTAATTGAAGAATAAACATTCATCCAAGACATCAGAGAGTGCACTGCTCTTCTTCAAAATAGTCTTTTATTTTTGCTACCATAAACACATGTCCACGCACATACGTATATTTTTAAAAGTAATTTATTTATCAACTGTCTGGCATCATTCACCAGCTAGCGCCTTTAGCTTGTCCCTTACAATCTTACCATTTCATCAACAGTTTTCTGGAACAGTGAGCTGTGTTTCTTAGCTTTTGTGTGACTGAAAATTTCTTGGAAAAAGTCCCTCTGGTCTTTGAGAGGCATCAAACCACACACTGGGTTAGGCAGTCCTTCAGTCTCTTCCGCCTGTTGGAACAATATTAGAAGCTAGAAATTAATAAACATGTGACAAACTTCATTCAGTAAAGTCACATGAGCAGGGGTTAGCCTTCAACCCGCACTGGTCTGCCAGTCATTCTCTGATATCATGATTGATTTGTATCTCAATTCTAGTCACTGGCTATGATCCAATTACAACTGTGAATTTTTTCATCTCTAATTTGCCTTCTGACTTCAACGAGCACAGGAACAGGAGGGCTGTTTAACCTTTTAGCCAACTAGATGATCATTTTTGTTGTTTTTGTTTGGAGGGTTACAGTAGCTGAATTTTAATTAGGCTAATAAACTCAGAACATCATGACATTTGGAAAGCACAATTAGTTTAACGATGTATCATACTCCAAAATAGAACACACACACAAACACACACACACACACACACACACACACACACACACACACAACTTGACACATACACACCTTGTCCATTTATAGTAGATTCAATAAAGATCAAAGCTGATCTATACCTTATCTCAATCCACACGCCTTAGTTCCATAACACTTCATAAATGAACCCAGCAAAAATTCTGAATTTTTCAATTGGCTCTTGATCCCAACAGCCTTTTGTGGTTTAATGTTCCAAAATATGCAATGAAATGTTTTTAACATTCTCGTTGAATAGCCTAAGTTTAATTTTAAAGTTATTCCTCCTTGTTCTGGAGTCTTCACCAAAGACAAAGGCTTTCATCTATCAACCCTAACCCTCTCCCGGTGGCTGCCATTCGACCTAAGGTAGCTGCCCTTTCCTGCCTTATCCAACGGACCACTTTCGATATGCAAGTCTATGCTATGACATCCAGCTGTTGAAATTTGGAGGACAATGAACCAATATCATCTCCATATTTCCAGCATGGGTGATGAGGAGGTAACAAGGAGCAGGAATCCATAATTGATGTTCCCTTGGCCAGTGATGTTGAGGTCAACTAATGGCCAGATGAGTTGGGTAGTGACCTCCAAAATCTCTATCTTCCAGAGGAATGATAGCAAACTCACTTGAATTATCTGAAATGTCTTCAGATTCTTGATTAATTTCCTGAATGCCGCTGCAATATGTCAATAGGAATCTGTGAATGACTCCACCACCTCACCTCAATCTATGATTGGCTGCTACATTTACCAATCACAGTCTTTTGTGTTCTTGACTGTGAACAATCAGATTACAGAGCAGAGTCTGGATGTCACAGCTGAAGCAGGAGAGTAGGCAGTTGGAGGTAAACTTCCAACGTTCACACAAGAACACAAGAATCAGAGCAGGAGTAGGTCATTTGCTTCCATGGGCATCCTCCACCATTTAAGAACATAATTGATAAGATTTGACACAACTCCACTTTTTATGTCTGACCACCTCCACCACCACTCCACCCTCCAGCCCACAATCCTTGACTTCCCCGTATATCAAACTTCTATTTTAGCCTTGTAGCCTTAAACATATTCAATGACCCAGCCTCCACTGACTCTGGGGAGGAACTCCGTATGGGAACATAACCTCTTCTATCTCGATCATAAATGGGAGATCCCTTACTTTTAAAGTGGTATTCCCCTAGTTTTAGCCTCTCCCACTGGGATAGCATCTTCTCAGCATTCATTTTATCAGGCCAACTCAGGATCTAATGTTTCATCAGAACACCTTTCAATTTTCTGAACTCCAACGTGTATAGGTCCCACTTGTTCAACCTTTCCTCATGTGACAAACTGTGAAAATGATATCAGTCAAGTGAACTTTCTTTGAAGTGTTTTAAATTCAGTTATGTCCTTTCTTAAGTAAGGAAATGAAAACAGTGCGCAGTACTCCAGATGCAGTATCACTATGATGCTATACAGCTGTAGCAGCACTTCCCTACTTTTACACTTGATTCCCCTTGCAATAAATGCCAACATTGCATTTACCTTCCTAATCCCTTGCTGCACCTGCTTACCAACATTTTATGTTGCATTTACCAGGGCACCGAGATCCTAAGAGTTCTACAGTCTCCCCTCCATTCGAATAATTGTACTGCTTTGCTATTCTTCGTACCAAAGTGAACAGGTTAACATTTTCCACATTATATTCCATCTGCCAAACATTTGCTCACTCACCTAAGCTTATTGAATCCCTTTGTCCTCTTAATTTTCTCCATTTTGTGTTATCAGCAAATTTATCTATCATACTTTCAGTCCCTTCATCCAAGTAATCAGTATAGTTGAGGCTCCAACAATGATTCCTAACATTACTCTACTAGTCACAGCCTGCCAACCTAAAAATGAACCAAATATTTCTACTCTTTGCTTCCTGTTACCTAACTAATTTTTAACAATGTTAGTATGTTACCACCATAGCATAAACTTTTTTTTTGTCATAATCTTGATTGTGTCATGTTATTGAATGTTTTTGGAAATCCAAATATACCAGTTCTACAGGTCCTCCTTTATTACCTTCTCAAAGAACTCTAAAAATATAGTCAAACGCAACTGACCAAACTATGTTGATTTTGCTATGAGATAGTAAAAATTGCCGATGCTGGAGCCAGTAATAACAGTGTGGAGCAGGAGGAACACAGCATGCCAGACAGCATCAGAGGAGCAAGAAAATTGATGTTTTGGGTCAGGACCTGTCTTCAGAAATGGGGAGGGGGAGGGGGGATCAGAAATAAATAGAGAGAGCAGGGGTGGGGCTGGGGAAGGTAGGTGGGATGGTGATAGGTGAGTGCAGGTAGGGAATGTTGGGGATTGGTCAGTGAGGTGGGAGGGGCGGATAGGTGGGAGAGAAGATGGACAGGTTGTGTCAGGTCAAGGAGGCGGGGATGAGAGGGAGGGTTGGATATAGGATGAAGTCGCGGGTCGGGAGATTTTAAAACTGGTGAAATCCATGTTTAGGCCATTGGGCTGTTGGGTCCCGAGGTGGAATATGAGGTGCTGCTCCTCCAATTTGCGGGTAGTGTCATTGTAACACTGGAGGAGACCCAGGACGGACATGTCATCCAGGGAGTGGGAGGGGGAGTTAAAATGTTTCGCGACCGGAAGGTGTTGTTGTTTGTCGCGTACAGAGTGCAGATGCTCCACAAAACGGTCTCCGAGTCTCCGCTTGATTCCACCGATTTAGAGAGGGCCACATCAGGAGCAGCGAATGGAGTAGGCCAACTGTGCAGGTGAACCCCTCTCTAATGTGGAAGGTTTGTTTTGTGCCTTCAATGGAGGTGAGGGGGGAGGTGTAGGGCAGGTGTAGCACATCCTGCAGTTACAGGGAAAGGTGCCGGGGGTGATGAGGTTAGTGGGGAGTGTGGAGCGGACGAGGGAAAGCGTGGTCCTTACGAAAGGCAGATAGGCGTGGGGAGGGAAATATCTCTTTGGTTGTGGGGTTGGATTGTAGGTGGCGGAAGTGGCGGAGAATGATACGTTGGATGCAGAGGTTGGTGAGGTGATATGTGAGGCCAAGGAGGTTTCTGTAATTATTTCTGTTGGGGGGAGAAGATGTGAGGGCAGAGGTATAGGAAACGCAAGAGATTTTTATAAAGGGGCAGTAGGAGGAGGTGTCAGAGAGTTGGCGCCTGGCTTCGGCTATGTAACGGTCATTACCACTACTGCTTTGATAAAGGGGCAGTAGGAGGAGGTGTCAGAGAGAGACATTCTATTAGGTCCTTAATAATGGATTCTAGTATCTTCAAGATGAATGACATTAGATTAACTGGCTTATAGTTTCCTGCTTTCCTGAAAAGAAGCATTACATTAGTGGTTTTCCAACACACTGGGACTGTTCCAGAATCTAGAGAATTTAGATGATTGTAACAAATGCATCTACCAATTAACTTAAAACCCTTTTAGTTGTATTAATGTACCCACTATCTTTTTGTAATTGGTTTAGGTTCTCCTTCCATTTTACCTCTTGATATTCAAATATTCTGGAGATGTTATTTGTGTCCTCTACAGTAAAGATATACACAAAATGTCTGTTCTACTCTGTCATTTCCTTATTTCACAATTATTAATTTCCCAGTCTCATTGTCTGTGGGTATCATAAAAGCAGGATCACTTTAAACATTAGTTGGAACAGAAACTGTTTTAAAATTTGAATTTTTTTGTCAAAAATCAACTTTTTTAGGTGTGAGTTAGACCAGCACTGTGCCCAGAGTTAGGCTAAATCTGGGCACTGAGAGAGACCAGCAGCAGAATAGATTAGACTGACACTGGGCACTGAGTCAGATTGACTTTGGTTGCTGAGTGGCACCACCACTGGGTGCTAAATTAAAGCAGCAACAGCAATGAGTTAGACCAATACTGGTGCAGACGCAGACTGGCATCAGACTAGTCATACTGATACCAGGTAATGCATTTTATTCTCTCGGCCACTACAGTATGTCTGGGACATTACTTTAGACTTCAATGTAATCATTAAAATTTCAACAAAATTTGAGCAATGAAATCACATCTGGATTTTGCTCTCCAACTATAAACATACATGAAGCATAAAACACAGTTAGAAGGAGATGTCAAAGCAGCAGAAGCAGTGGTAGGTTTACCTTTTGGCTGTCTTGTATTTCCAACTGAAGTGACATTTCAGACTGGACAGGACAGACCATTGGAAGTTCAAGTGAGGATTTTGTGAGACCAATTTTACAACTGCCACCGAAAGCAAAGAAGAAAAAAATCATTGTGTTGGTAAGTGAAAACTTATGTGTAGATGGCAAATGGCAGTAAAGTAGATTTGTCTTCATTCATTCACTGGATGGCATTGATGGCATTTATTACCTATCTGTAGTACCTTTACTAAAGTGATGGTAGGAACTTCATAAAGGAGGGGCTTGCTGATTCACTTAGAGAACAAGTAAAGTTCAATCCAATTGTTATGGAACTGAGTCACATATAGGCCTAGATTGGGTTAGGATTGAATGTGCATTGAAGGCACTAAGTATTTCTCAGCTATAACAGTTTGGAAATAATTTTAGAGATGAAATGTCAGAAGAGGATTTATGTCTGGAGGTGAGGGGAGTAAAATTTTAGCTCCCATGGTTTAAGTTTTGGGTTTAGTGATAAAGCCTGATGCAGTGTATTGGCACAGTAAAAAAAAGTCAATTTCATTGTGGACCAGTTTTCTGAAGAAAGAAAGACATGCATTTCTGTGATGGCTTTTACCTCAGAATGTGCTTCACATCCAATGAAGCAATTTTGATTTGTACAATTAGGAAACAATGGTTTAGAAAATATGGCAGTCAATTTGTGCACAGAAAGATCTCATAACCAGTAACATGATATTGAATCGATAATTTGTTTTAGTGACTTTCATTGAGGGGAAAAATATCAGTCCTATGAACGTGGGAATAACTCCCACTCTCTTCTTTAAAATAGTCCTGTGGAATCTTTTACATCTAACTGGGAGGACAAATATCCCTGGGCTTATTGTCTCATAAAGAAAATAACATTTCTGAAAGTGCAGCACTCCTAAATACTGCCCCTCTGGCAGTTCAGTGCTTCCTTAGAACTACCCCTCTGGCAGTGCAGTGCTCTCCTCCTACAGTGCAGCACTACCTCAGTTCTGCACTGGGAGGGTCAGTGTGGGCAATGAGCTCAAGTTTCTAATGTAGGATGCAACCACAGGATCTTCAACTCTGAGGCAAAAATGCTGCCTATTCAGTCATGCCTCATCGCACTTTTACAGTCTGTTTTTTTTTAAATGCTTCATCAGATGTAATATTACTGGCTAGGTCAGTAGTTATTGCCCATTCCTAATTACTCTGGAGAAGGTGATGGTGAGCTGCCGTCTTGAACCATTGGAGTCCAGGTGGTGTGGGTACAGTGCCGTGAAAGCTGATGATCCATGCCTCTGCCCCAGCAACAGAGAAGGAAAGGCATTACAGAATAGCAAGTTACTGTATCATTTGTAGCTACTATACCCTGCTGACTCTGCATGCTGGTGGTGAAGTGAATGAGTAGGATGCTTTGATATGAATGTTTCAAATTTTTGAACATTGTTGCAGTCTATTAGCAACAATGTGTGGACGTGCCAGTGTTGGGCCGGGGTGGACAAGGTCAGGAATCACACGACACCAGGTTATAGTCCAACAGGTTTATTTGGAAACACGAGCTTTCAAAGCCTCACTCCTTCTTCAGGTGTTCGTGAGAGAGGTAATATCAGACACAGAATTTATAAGTAAAAGGAAAAGGCTCCGAAAGCTTGTATTTTCAAATAAACCTGTTGGACTATAACCTGGTGTTGTGTGATTTCTGACCTTATTAGCAACAAGTTACAGAATGGTATTCTTTTGGATTCTTCAGCAACTCGAAAAAGTGCAGGGAAGTTCACTCCAGTATCTAGAACATTATTTATGTATCAATCAATACCGCAAGAACAAATGATCTGATAGAAAGAGATTTACCAGAATGTTGCCGGGAATGGAAGGTTTGAGTTATAAAGAAAGTCTGGATAGACTGGGACTTTTTTCACTGGAGCATAGGAGGTTGAGAGATGACCTGATAGAAGTTTATAAAAATAATGAGAGGTATAGATAAAGTTGATGGTAGTTGCCTTTTCCCTATGATGGGGAATTTCAAGACTAGGGGACACACTTCTAAGGTGAGAGGAGAGAGATTTAAAAAGACATAACAGGAAATCTTTTACACAGAGGGTGGTTCGTGTGTGGAATGAACTTCCTGATGAAGTGGTAGATGTGATTACAATTACAATGTTTAAAAGACATTTGGATGGATATATGAATAGAAAAGGTTGGTGGCGTGGGGGTGGTGGTGGTATGGGCCAGGAGCAGGCAGGTGGGACTAGTTTAGTTTGGGATTATGTTTGGCATGGATTCGTTGGACCTTAGGGTCTGTTTCCGTGCTGTATGACTCTATGCTGTTTGTAGGAGCTTTCTGTGTACAAATTGCTTTCTACATTTCAGAGATACTTCATTAACAGTAACACCCTTCATAACCTGAAGCTGTAAAAGGTGCTATATAAACAGACAACCACGGGAACTCTGCAGCTATGACAGTGCTCATCTGCTGCAATCATGCTCACCCAAAGAAGTCTTGGCAAACCTTCTCTTGTGATGCTTTTAATTCAGCACGCAATCCCTGAGAAAGAAAATAGATTTCTAGTACAGCACGTTTTACCTGGTGAGTTTTAGTAGGCTGGCAACATCCAACAGCACAGCAGCATTGGGAAAATACTGAATCTTGAACTAGTCAGAAAGTTTTGAACAAATCCCAATCGCGATGGGTGATTTCACTCCAGTCACAGTCAAACAAAACTCTATTACCATTACCACCTATTCTGGGTGTGAAGAGAAACAAGCCTGTAAAATATCTCGAATTTAAAGTTCTCAACTTTTTGTTCAGAAACCTCCCTGACATAACACTAACCCTGACCCCTAATGTTACTTCTGTTATCATTTCCAGTGATATAACGCTCCAAGATTTCCATATTCCTCCAATTCTGGCCTCCTGCACATCAAATACTAAATGCTAGAATTCCCTCCTAAACCTCTTTGCCTCTCAACCGCACACAAACCTATGTCAACCCTACTGCAACTGCTAACTCGAACCAAAGACCCCTTACCCCTATGGACAGAACCAACGTGATATACAAGATCCCATGCAAAGACTGTGACAAACATTACATTGGACAGAAAGGAAGGAAAGCGGCCACAAGAATACATGAACACCAACTAGCAACAAAAAGACACGACCAATACTCACTTGTCTCCATTCACACGGATAAGGTGAACCACCAGTTCAATTGGGACAACATCAGGATACTACGACAGGCTAAACAGAGACAAGCACGGGAATTTCTAGAGGTTTTGTACTCCACCAAGAAGGCCATCAATAAACACATAGAATTAGACCCTATATATACACCACTGCAAAGAAAAACTGGAAATGAGGTAACAATTTCAACGGACCCCAGAGTTTAAACACCAGGCGGGAAAACACAACAGCGCTTCATTGGAGGCTGCACTGATGATGTTACCCAGCAGGGTAACGTCTGCGAACTAACGAACTAACTCGGCGAGCGAACCAATCACAGCATCCACAACCTGAGCTACAAATCTACTCAAGATCCTTAGACTCTCTTTCCTCCTTTAGACGTTCCTTAAAACCTACCTCTTTGATTAACATTTTAGTCACCTGCCTCCAATAAAACAATTACAGAGGCAGGAACTTTAAAGTTATTGATAAATGGGCTGGAAAGCCCAGAGTGGGACTCTGGTGCAGGCATGGCGGGGGCTGGAAAGCCCAGAGTGGGACTCTGGTGGAGGCATGGCTGGGACTGGAAAGCCCAAAGTGGGACTCTGGCAGAGGCATGGCGAGGGCTGGAAAGCCCGGAGTGTGACTGTGGCAGTGGAAAGGAATGTTGTACTTTCTTAAGTTTTTTTTCTTATCTTATTCTAAGTTAATGTGAATGGTGCCATGTATGTACAGCGAAGCTACACAATTTTCACTGTATTTTTACATTGAATACACGTAACAATGAATGATTCAATTTAGATGATTCAGTTTAATTCAAATGAATTGTTCAAACCAAACAGTCCTCATCACTTTCAAGTAAATGGCAAAAGAACCAAAGGGGATTGATAAGAAATGTTTTTTAAGCAATGAGCTGTAATGATCCAGAATGCACTGTACAAAAGGCGAGCGGAAGCACATTGAATAATAACTTGCAAAGTGAATTTTTGTTATTAAAATCAACTCAGATGTGAGCATTGCTGGCAAAACCAATGTTTACTGCCCATCTGTAATGGTTCGAAAGTCAGTAATGACCTGTTTCTTAAATGCTGCAGTCTATTTGGTGTAGACACAGTCCTGTTAGAATAAAGTTCCAGGAATTTAGCCCAACATGAAGGAGGAATGGTGAGATAGTTGAACTTAGGGTGATGATTGAGACTGGAGGTCTGGAAGATGCTGTCAAGGAGGTTTGGCAAGTTATTGCAGTGCATTTCGAAGATGGTGCACAGAGCTGCTACTATATGTCATGTAGACAGAATGAACATTTAAGGATAGGCTCAAGTGGCTGCTTTGTCCTGGATGATGTTGAGCAACTTGAGTGTTGTTGGAGCTCAACTCAGCCAGACAAGCAGTATTCCGTCACTCTGACTTGCGTTTTATTTATGGTGAACAGGCTTTGGGGAGTTGAGAGGTAAGTAACTCACTGTAGAATTCCCAGCCTCTAATCTGCATTTGCAGCTACATTATTTCTATGGCTGTTATAGTTAAACATTTAGTCAGTAATTGAAAATAGTGGACCTAGAATTTTACCGTGAGAAACTCCTGCAGCAAAGAACCAGTTGAGCTGAAAGGTCTGTTTCTGCGCTTTCTCATCCAGTCACTCATAATTGCTTAAATCATGTGTTTTTATGCACAGACTCAATGTCTCATACCATCAAACACTGAAGCTTTTCATCAAATGATCCACTCAGTCTAATCACTCTCTTCTATTCATGCTGTGTACACTTTAATAACCCACACAGTCAAATCTTATTCCTTTTTCCCTATTTATCCCTCTTTCTGTGTGACTATCATTCCTTCTTCTTACTCTTTTTATTTCTGTTCATATCTTCACATCAAACGTTGTCAGTATACAAACAAAGAAAAAATGTTGCAAAATAGGAAATTCAAACATTACAATTTCACTTTTTGTTATTTTCAAATATTCAGTTCGAAGAGATTTGTCTGACAAATGTCTTTGTGCTCTTAAGGAATTAGCCAAATACTTTCTCTCTTCCTTTGTTTACAAACTCTTAGACTGATGGTGTAAATCACGTTGAAATGCTAAAATGCATCACTTGTGCGTTAGTTTTTCTCCACGAAAAAGGCTTGCTGCTGTCGAAATGTTCACCCTGCTTCACCACCCCCCCCACACACTAGAAACTAAGCCCCAGAAAGAAAAAAAAACAAAACCTACCTCTATGATTTTACAGCTTTCTTCGTTAGACATCTTCAACTCTTCAATCAAAACTGTTTCCTGGAATGTTGGTAAGAGAATAAACAAATCTGTAAGGGGTTGAATAATGAATGTATTTTGTCTGTGTCAAGAAAAATAGCTACAAAACAAATAATCAACATATTATGGCAATTACAGTGCAGTAGATGACCATTTGGCCCATCGTTGCTAACACTTCAACAGTGAGATCAAATCTCATTTCCCTGCTCTCTCCCAATGTCCTATTACATTCTTACTTTACAAATCCTATATGACTACTCTTAAATAATATACAGTCTCTACCTCAACAGACACTATGGTAGAGCATTCTGTGGTTGAGTTTCCCCTACTTATAACCCGGGTTGAATTATTCAATTCTACGTGAAAGATCAAAGAATTTTAAGCTTAAGTGGAATGTAATACCTTCTCACTGGTTTCAGATTCAGTTCACTTGAATAAGGTTATGCCTATAAAACTGTCCACCATCCACATTTGCATCCAACCCCTACCCCTTTCCCAGTTGAAAATTATAAATTTATTCATTGCTTTGTATTCATTGCTTTGGTTCCAGAAATTCAAATTTTACTCCTTTTCCCACAGAAATATTGTAAAAGCTTTTTGGTAATTAAAAAATATTCAATTTACTGTGAAACTCACCAATGTACACTAATGAAACTATTGAATGGTTCAGTATAATTATTTGAAAGTCATTATCAGTGATCCACCCATTTTGAGCCATATTCATAGAACTGCACCAGACTAATAAACATTTTAAAAAGATTAAATGAATACTTTCAAATGAACTGATGCAGCTCAGTCGCACTGATAAATTTTATATTTGTGATTATACAAATCAATTTTAGTGGAAACATTAACTATATGCTAATATGGACATTTTGGGGACAGTTTCCTCATTACAACCACAATAGAAACTCTTTTCCACTCTGTGTGTAAACATTTCTTCTAACTCACCTCTTCATTCTCCTAAAGATAATCCTCAATCCATTCATCAACAAGTCCAAAGAATCTCATAATTTATTCTCTTCCTAATGTCCTTTAGAAAAAGAAATCTGCCATCATCTGGTCTGGCCTAGATGTGATTCCAGATTCTCACAGCAATGTGGTTGACTCTTAACTGCCCTCTAAATGGCCAAGTAAGCCACTTAGTTCAAAAGCAATTAGGGCAATAAATGCCAGCTCAGCAAACGACACCCACATTCCAAGAACAAATAAAAAAAAACTTCAGTTTTGAAAGCCTGCATTTAATCATGTTTAATCTTCTTTGCAGCGGCATTTAAAACAAAACTATTCATGTCTTTCTTCATTCACCACAAATTCTCATTTATGGCATAGATCAACAGAATCTTTGTGCCACCAACAACCCCCCCCCCCCCACCCCACCGCACCCCCAACCCACTCCCCGACCTCAGGCTCTAATGTGCAGGGTTCAGGTTGCTCCATTGCTCCATCATTGAATACAGTATATTAAAAGGTAGAATAGGCAGATTTTTAGTATGTTGGAGAATCAAGTAATATAAGGAGCTTGTCAGAAAGTTGAGCTGAGGCAGAGGATCAAAGTTACGATTGTATTGAATAGTAGATCCTGGCTAAAGAATCTTATAGGCTACTCTTATTTTCATTTCTTATGTTTTTCCTGAAGTTGGATGCCCAGAACAATACTATAACTATGGTTCAAACACTGTCTTGTAAAAAGCCATTAAATTCACTGACAGTTAATGCAAAATCCAGAATCCCATTTACCCTTGTGATGCCATTTTATAATTACCGTCCTGCATCTGAAGATCTGCACTTTTGGATCTCTCATATCCTCTTCACTTAATCAATGGTACATACTGTCCTCCACTGTTCCTTACTTCAGAATGTTAGATTTCTCACTGAGCTCTTTCTTCCCGGTGTGATTCTGTGCCTTTCCCCTGCTTGCCCACAATTTGACTTCTTTATTAATTGCCCATTCTCTCATATTTTGCCAAAACTCCTTATTTAAATTCACCCACATGCATTTCTAGTTCACATATTGCCAGCTATAGGCGAATTCATTCTCTTGGAATTATCAATTGCGAATAATTGAGATTTTATTCCACTTCTGCTTCATTTGTCTAAGATAAATTGTATAAAAAATTAAGCCACTGTGTCCATACCTCAAAAATTAAAGCATCTTTAGATATCAGCAGCTTTTGAGCCTCATGAATCTGCTTCTGAAAAATTGAAATACACATCCACAAAAGTTACGTTTGTTGCACAAAATATTTAAGCTACACATAGTGGTGTCATTATCTCTGGACAGAATGGAGATAATTATGTAATTTTACTATCAGGCACTTCTCCAGACTGTACTGCTGTAAATGACTAGCATTGAATTTGTGTAGCAAATGTGGTATTTAGCTATCCTCCACTCACTGCTTTTATTGGGAGACTTTGCTATAGTTTGGAACATAAATTCTGTTTGCTATAACATCCATTTATACAGGTTGTGTAGACTGCTTACTACAAGTTCCACTTGCCTCCAACATATTAGTTGATATAATAGTATCAGTTCTCACTGCAAAATTTTAAGTTCCCTTAGCAAAATGGGAACCAGATTTAGGTGCAAAGAAATATCTTCACAAGAGTGGAGGGTGATTCACTTTCTTTGTGTAAAGTTAAGATCATATGAGAAAAAAAATGTCTAGCTGGGGTATGACTCAATCTTCCTTGTTTGGCTATTTTTCACTTTCAGCCATTTTGATAGCCTGGATATTATACATCAAGAGACCAATAAAAGGCCAGTTAAGGGACTCATATGAAATTTCTACCCCAGCTAGTTTAAGAGAATAACTTATTATATATTTTAAAACCCCCAATTAAGCCTTCATTAAAAAGTCACTTGATAAACTGAAGGCAAAGTGTTGGTTAGGTACGACCATGAACATTAAGTTCTTTATTTATATTTCATATCCAACTTCCAGTTTTGACTTATTTCAGAGCTTGAAGGACACACAAAGCAGATGCCTTCTTCAACATAAATATATTTAAAACTTAAAGCCAATAATTTTCTTGACTCCAGAGGCTTCCATTGATCCTCCTGAGCTGAGAGAGCTTTGTAAATATAATGTGTAAGTGATATTGTCCTGATCCTACTTTTAGTTTATGACACTTCATTCAAACAAGGCGGAGATAAAAGGGAAAATTATAAACATTGAAATCTGAATTAAAATCTGACACATTAGAAATTTACAACAAAGGTCAACAGTTGAAACAGATGGATTTTAGCCAGCCACAGCTCTTTGTCAGAATGCAATAGATGTGAATTCCATCTCCAGAAACTTGAGCACACCATCCAATCTGACTCCCAATGCAGAATATAGTGGGCATTGCATTTTTTTCAAGCGACCGTACTGTGGAAATGCTGCACTAACGAAGGGCAACACTGTGAAAGTGTTACCCCATTGGAAGCGCAATACTCAGGGAATGTTGTATTATCGGTTGGGTATAGGGATGGCACCATGGAATTTGCCACCCTAAATGAACCTTCAGCCTGGAACCCCATCAAATAAGTTCTGAAAATGAATTATTCATGGATAATTGTTAAGCATGACCTTCCCTCACCCTCGGCTTCTCTCGACCTCAGTCTCCCACTGTTCGGCAGCACTATGTTCCCTTGGAACTAATCACTGGATTTGTGCACTCTGCTCCCACACCTTTCAGGAGATCTTTAACACTCACATCACCACAGGATGAACCAAATGGGCATTTTTGATTCATCATCAATATCCTTTCCAAACACCTGCAGAATAGACTAGACATTCTGACATTTTGTCCTCATTATCTACTTTTATACAAAGACACAATAAATTTCTGCTGTCAACTTTCCTGTTTACAGTAAGATGCCTCATATTTCACTTGCTTCTCTAGCAGATCGTACCAGGGTTTGAGAATTGTACCCTCTATGAATCTGCTTGATCCACTGAGCAATAGCATAAATTTAAAAACTGTTAGATTAAGAGTGAATTCAGGACCGCTTTTCTAGGAAGCGGAGAAATTAACATTAAAGTCCACACACTCTCACATTAAACAGGGGAGTCTGCACTCAGGCTGAGATTATGTTCAGATTTGGATTTGGATCAAGATTGGGTTTGGTTTTGGTTTAACTGTGACTGCAGTGAGTTGATAACATGGGTGAACAGCTCCTGTGATCATTTGGTTTGTGAGAAGCTGCTATAGTGCCAACAGCAGCTAATAAATACTGCACAGGGGGAGATACAGCACCTTCCAGGCAAAAGAAAAATCTGTTCATCTGGCTGCATGGCCAGGGTTAAGTAAACTTTAACTGGAAGCCAGAAATAAATCCTTTCGAAATGGATATTTTGTCACACAGAATCTCCGAATAAGAATTTCAGTCAGTCTGCACTATATTTCTTTGGTTCATCACTTCATCTCTACTGGAATTGTCGCCATGAAAATTAAAATATTTACTGGGTTTAGAAAAGAGTGAGAAGATGGAGGTAATGAAGTGTAGGCCAAGGGACAAAAACAGAAATTGCTGGGAAAAGCTCAGCAGGTCTTCCAGCACTTTTTTTCCTTTATTCATTAATGGGATGAGGGCATTGCTGATCAGGCAGCATTTATTGCCCAGAGGAAAATTCAGAGTCAACCACATTGCTGTGGGTCTGGAGTCATGTGTAGGCCAGACCAGGTAAGAATGGCCGTTTCCCTCCCTAAAGGACATTAGTGAACCAGATGGGTTTTTCCAACAATCAACAATGGATTCATGGTCATCATTAGATTCTTAGTTCCAGATATTGGGCTGCACAGTGGCTCACTGGTTAGCACTGCTGCCTCACAGCAACAGGGACCTGGGTTCAATTCCACCCTCAGGCGACTGTCTGTGTGGAGTTTGCACATTCTCCTCGCGTGTGTGTGGGTTTCCTCTGGGTGCTCCAGTTTCCTCCCACAGTCCAAAGATATGCAGGCTAGGTAGATTGGCCATGCTAAATTGCCCAAAGTGTTCAGGGATGTGTAGATTAGAGGGATGGTTCTGAGTGGGATGCTTTGTGTGTTGGTGTGGACTTGTTGGGCCAAAGGGCCTGTTTCCACACTGTAGGGATTCTATGATTTCTATATTGTATTGAATTCAATTTCCACCATCTGCCGTGGCAGGATTCAAACCTGGGTCCCCAGATGTTATCTGGGTCTCTGGATTAACAGTCCAATGATAATACCACTAGGCCATTGCCTCCACAATCTGTGAAGAGAAATCAGAATTAATGTTTCGGGTCCAGTGACCCTTCCTCAGAACTCAGGCCAAGGGAGTAGTTTGGGTATTTTGCCTTTTTGAAAACTCTGTTTTCGCTACTGTTTCACATTCCATTTTTGAGGAATATCAAAATCTAACAGCTCTCTGGGCCATCTTGTCCCCTCTCTAATTTTTTCCACATAAACCCAGTAAATCCAACCCTCTCTGTCTGGTCATTTAACATGCACAATTTAAATTTTTAAGAACCAAGCTCATTGTCTGAGATTCCAAAGATGGAAAAGGTGTCCTAAAGAAGACTCATATTCGACTTGAAATATTACACTGAAAGTCACCAGAATTTGGTCAAGTGTCATTTTTGGTAAGCATAGAAGGTTTCTCTCTGGGAGGCCTAGTGCTTTTTCTTGCATTACATTCCCAAACTTGCCTCATTACCTATGCACTATACCCCTATGACATCCGCTCATCATATTCTCCACTCACGATAATCACCACTGCCAGGACCTCGCTGGAGTTGGGCCAGATTTAAAAGGCAGCTGTGCGTCCAGTCAAGCAGATCTGCTCTGCGTGATTTGCTTTATTTGTACTGGACATGGTAGACAAGGGAAAACTGGTGTTCCGTTTTGCAAACAAGAACCTGGAGGTCCTGGTGGATGGGGTGATGCAGAGGGGTCTTTCCTTTAGCCCTAGGGCTGACAGAGGAGGCCATGCCATCTGAAGCTTAGTCCAGGGTTGCCACCTTGGTCCACAGAAACATACAGCAATGCTGCAAGAAGGTCAATAACCTTCTCCACTCCACCAGGGTAAGTGCCACCATCTTCTCTCTCCAACCTCATACTATCTTTCCTACTGCACAAACCTCCCACCAAGGTTCATGGCATGCCACTCTCAGTACTGCTGGCAACATTCCTCCTCACACATATCCCCTGCATGCCTACGGCACTGTCTACTCACTCACTTGGGACACCTCATTATCTTTCCCCCAACTGCACCAGCACTAAAAAATGTGCCAGCCATCAATCCCTCCCTTTGTCTGGTTACGGGGGAAAACGTTCCACAATAGGGTCGAGAGTGTTAAAAGCAATAGTGGGGCAGCTGACAGTAGGTTCCTTACTCCTTGAGGACGGAATCATAGAATCCCGACAATGTGGAAGCAGGCCATTCAGCCCATCAAGTCCATATCGACCATCTGAAGAGTATCTCAACCAGACACAACATCTATTTTATCCCTGTAACTCTGCACTCCCCATGGCTAATACACCTAGCCTGCACATTTATGGACTGTGGGAGGAAACTGGAGCACCTGGAAGGAACCCATGCAGACACGGGGAGAATGTGCAAACTCCACACAGACAATCACCCAAGGGTGGAATTGAACCCGTGTTCTTGGTGTTGTGAGACAGCATTGCTAACCACTGAGCCACTATGCTGCCCAGGTGCTGGCCAGCAAAGGCCAAGACCATTCACGTAGTGATGCTGAAACATCTATGTCTCGGCAACCAAGCAAGAAGCATTGTCCATGCTGTGCTACTCTCACATTACTACCACTATGAATGTAGTCTTAACATGTCCGAACCTGTACCCCTTGTTAGCAATGGATTCATTTTTTTTTTATTCTTGCAGGTACTAGTGGCATCTGCATGGTCCAAGAGACTAGCCCCACAAGACATCTTTTCCTCCACCTCTGAGGAAGAGCCACAGATCCCTCAGAGGATGATTTGGCAAGGCCACGTCCTTTATCCTCCCTCAACTCAGATACTGGCACCTCGGTGGGTAAACTAGCTAGATTAGAGTCAGGAGCATCTGCTGGTGAATATATCATTATCACGACTCCAGAACTTGTCAAGGAAAGCTGCTGGCGCTGGGAGGATTGTCACAGACCAGGCACCCACTCAGTCCGAGCAGGGAAAGAATACCACGATGTCAGTGGCTAAGAACTCTGTAAAATTGCAGACACAACAGCAACGACACTGGACAAACTGAAACATGTAACCAACACTGTTGGCACCATACTATCGCTGGTGGTATTTAGCTGCCTCAATGTAAGGTTAGTGGTCGCCATGGACAGCCAGGTCCAGCACACATAGATGCATCCACACATGCATTTGTATTCCATTGCTCTAGTCATTGGTACTCAGCATCAATGACCAGGCAACAAGAGGGCAAGGTCCTTGACTGCATTCCAGGTGCTCTTTCCTCACAAGGAGGCAGGGTAGTCCCATAAGGCATCCAGCTGAAGGAGGAACCACATACAGCCTGCCTAGAAGTCTCCTCCCAAGACACTCCAGAGGGGACTGGACCCTTTACCTACACCCTACCTGCCATCTTCAGCCCTATGGGATTTCAAGCTGGGCAGATCAAACTGTTTCTGGAAAGGACACACTTAGCATGTCTGCCCCCTCCACACACAAACACCCCCTGGATTGCCTGACCAAACCTCTAAGGCCAACAGCCTCCAGTGCAGGAAAGCCGCCCTCCAGCTCAACTGCACAGCTCAAGATCACACTAAGGCATACAGTGAGGGAAAGAAAGAAGACGACCTTTGAGGGTAACCCAGGTGGCACAGGTGGTGCCTCATTGTAAATACATTCTCACATTTGGAAATATATGCTTGCTTTTGATCATCAGCTATGTGTGAACGGCTGCCTTGTTGCAAATACAAGATTGACGATGCAGAGTTGAACCACTTTTAGTACTACACCAAGGTTTTGTGGGCCAAGATATGAAATGAGCAGCTCCTGCACCATGTGCAGGCTATGGCAACTTGCAAGATGCTTGCCACGTTGTCAACAAGGGTGAATCTTTCTGGGGCCCAACACATTGCTTGTGCATCGCAGACACTAGTGGGAATGGTTATTGAAGTTGTACGACATAGTCAAGAATGCCTGGGGCCAGGATTTGTAGTTCACACAGTAGGTTACTGCCTGAAGTTCAAATAACATGCAGGGATTGCAGTTGTCTTTCAGCTGTATTCTATGTGTGTAATGCTATTGCCTTTAAAGGACATCACATTGGTTGAAAGTGAAGTTCTCTCCCTTGTGGAATGAAATACTTACACCTCCCACTTACAGCCATTTTCAGCTCCATTGTGCACTTATTTTCATCATGATAGGAGGGTGGCTTCTGTGCCTTGACTGGAGACTACTCCCCTTAGACTTTGAGATATGGCCATTTAGTTGAAGCACATGCGGTGTGTTCGGTGTTTATGTGGATGGCACATGGTGCAAGCACGAGATTGATGTAACGTGGTGATGTACAGCAATGTGTCCACCCCTGGATTGGCCATTGTTTACTGTCTACACTAAACACAAAGCAAAATGGAATTCTGTGATCACATAAACTCTCGTTGAGGATGCAAACTGCAAAAATGGCAAGCAAGATAAGGCAGGGCAGGGCAGGGCAAGGCAAAGTTGCTGTAAGCATTGAAGAGGGTGCACAGTGAGTAAGCACTAAGAGAGCAAGCGAAGATCCCGAAGATGAATCCTGGTCCAATCCCTGAGTTGGGTGCCTGCTCCTGTGCATGAACTGTACTTGCAGCAGCGCTGCAATGAAAAGTGCCAGTGCACTCCAAATTCCAGCACTGAAGTGTGGAATCATGCTGTAAATGTACCAGAGATGTGCAGTGATGGTACAGTATGGCTGGTATATATTGAATGCGAAGGTCTATGGCTAGGGAGTATGCGTCATTGTAGCCCATGGAGTATACCTTGAAATGTTGGGACTGGTGTACACGATGAAGTGTAGAGGAGCAAATAGTAAGCCGGGGTCATTAAGCAACCGCTGTAGCTTCCATGTTATCTCACTTCTCTCCAGCAGGTTGGAGAACAGGAAACTGCTTATTAATAAAGCAAAATTAACTAACAATGAGATGTTGTAAATAGGTCTCTCGTCACTCACTAGAGAGAATCTCATCTCGATGTTCAGCACTTGGTAGGAAAAAGAGACTATTTGCTCTCAACATCAATAAGTTCCTTGCTGGCCATCTCACATGGTTTTCCTAAATTTCTTGTTAATGTCTATGCCATTCAGTGCTTTGGAAGATTCTGCCCATTAATTCTGTTTTTCTCTCCCCACAGATGACTGGCTGGCCTGCTCAGTTTCTCCAACTCTAATTTTATTTTATTAATTGAACTTGAGGTTATCGAATTAACAATCTATAAACTGGGGAGTGATAGTTAGCAGATTATAAGCAACCTCCAAGACAGCAGATTGAATGCTACATCTGACCCGGGTCAAATAGAGGTTTGAGGATGGGGTAGAACCATCAAGGGACTAGAGCAGTCAAAATGTGCAATAATTCTTAGGAAGTTACACCAACAACCAACGACAATTTAGCAAAAAAGCTAATTATCAAGTGTTCTTGTGCCTGAATCTGACAGAGACAGAAATGCTGCTTTTGACACTTTGGCAACTTTGTAGGTTTCCAACTCAGATTTTTTTAAACTTGGCCATGTTTCCCTCAATCACCCCTACCCCCACTCAAATCTTGTCACTTTGAGCAGTTCAGCTGGTTGTTGCAACACCCCTGGAGGGGCAGTAAAAGAGCATACTGCGCTGTTAAATGGGCAGCACTGATGAAATGCTGCACTGTTGGAGATGTCATCTTTCAGATGAGACATTTAACCATATACTTTCAGGTGGGTATAAAAATCCCATGATACCATTTGAAGAAAATCTTGGTACTGTTGGGCCAATATATATCCCCAACCGACATCTAAATAATAGATTAGCTGGTCATTATTAAACTGAGTGTGGGATCTTGACGTGTACAAATTGGATGCTGGGTTTCTGAACTGGGAATATCAACCTGGATTTTGTGCTCAATTCTCTGGAGTGGGGTTTGACTCTGACCATCTGACTAAGGGCCATGGTTGAGATTGTAACATCGTTTGTACATCCACTTATTTTGATTTTGGTAAGTGGTCTACTCTTTGCAGTTGTCAAACCCAGATACTTGAGAAAAAAGTGCTAAAGGTATTGAATCCCAATGCTGCCCAACTACCTAACAGGTAGTGTTTGACTGCAGTTACTGGAAGCACTACAAGTATTTACTTACAGTCAGGTCAGCGTTTTCCGTTAATAGTTCATCTATCTTATAGTTTAGCTTCCGCATATCCTTCTCAATCTTTTCATTCTGCACAGCAAAAGAAATACTGTTTAAAACATTGACTATTCTATATACTAATACATGAACTGTACAGTGGTAAGTCTTTCATTTGAACAAGACAAAAGTAACAACCACAAGGACGCAAGAGACAAATCAGTGCTTGTTCGCAAGAAGCAAGGAGTCATACCTAGAATGAAGGAAGACAGTTGTGTTTGTTGGAGGCCAGCATCACTGCCCAGCAACACTGCAGGAGTTCTTCAGGGTAAAGTTGTAGGCCCAACCATTGTCAAATGCTTTATCAATGACCTCCCCTCTATCATAGAGTCTGAAGTGGGGATGTTTGATGATGATTGGACAGTGTTCAGTGCCACTTGCAACTCCTCAAATGCAAAGCCATTAGTGTTTATATGCAGCAAGACCTGGGCAACATCCAGGTTTGGGCTGATAAATGACAAGTGTCACATAAGTGTGAGTCAATGGCCATCTCCAACAAAGGAAAACTTAACTATTCCCTTTTGACATTCAATGTTATTACCATCACTGAATACACAGCCCTCAAAAATCCTAGCGTTATCATTGTTCAAAAACCGAACTGGATCAGCCATAAAAATACTGTAGCTACAAGAGGGGCTCAGGGGCTGGGAATTCTGTAATGAGTAACTCTCCTCCTGACTCCCCAATCCTGTCCACTGTTTCCAAGGCATAATCCAGGAGTGTGATGAAACGTTCTTCAATTGCTTGGATGAGTGCAGCTCCAAGAACACTCAGGAAGCTTGGCACTATGCAAGACAAAACACCCCTCTTGAGCACTCCATCAACCACCTTAAACTACCACCATAACCATTCACATCGTGGCAACAGTATGTATCATCTACAATTGCAAGGCAGCAGCTTGCCACAAATCCTTCCACTGAACTGTCCAGATCTATAACATCTAGCAGAGGGATCTGCAACCTATGGCTTCAGAGCAACATGCAGCGCTTTCATGTTATTATTTAGTAGTGTCTGGAAGGAATGCCTCAGGCCAAGTGGAATTCCCAAGTGGAATGGGGAACAGGTGATGGGTTTGATTTATTGTTATTTATTGAGCATTTATTTCCCAACCCTAACTGCCCAGAAGGAGTCACATATAGGCTAAACTAGGCAAGGATGGCAGATTTCATTCTCGAAAGAATATTAGTGAATCAGATGGGTTATTACAACAATTGACAATGGTATGGTCACCATTAGGCAAGCTTTTTATTCCATATCTTATTGAACTCAAATTTCCACTATCTGCAACGGTACCGAATATTACCATGGAGTTCTGAATTATTTGTCCAGTGACATTACTACTATGCCACCTACTGTTTGAGAGTAATTGGGAGAAATCTGAATGGATGAATATACATGGGGAACAAGAAATCAGTGGGTTTTGAGTCGGTGGTATTTGAGTCAGAATGAAACTCTGACCAAAAAAGCATATGCCTGGCCTTAATTGAACCAACAATTAAACTTATCGTGTTCATTATTTACATCTCATTTGTGACTCCTAATCTGGTTGGGTTGTATTAACAAAGAAAACACCTAAAAAAAATTAAGTCAAGAAACGTAAGAGTGATGCTTTTACAGTGGGGATAAAAATACCAATCATACTGCTACACTTTTCATTTTCAAATTATTTGTTTAACAAAAGACATTATCATGTACTAAATACACCTGTTCAAATGGTATAACTACAAATGGTTGTAGATAACTCCATTAAATTGAAGAACAGAGTTTATAGTTGCAAGTTTTAACGTAGCTGAGATGATAAATTGTTCTGAATATGTTATTAGGAGTCCTTTTAACACAACCCATAGACAAAGGAGAAGCAGGATATGGCATGTTTGGATTTTCAGAAAGTTTTTCATAAAGTCCATACAGGAAGTTAAGTTAATAAATTTAGAGTAAATAGAACTAAGGGTAAATAAATTAGCATTGATGAGCAATAATTAGTTAACAGAAGCAGACAGTAGGAATAAAAAGATCACAGGCAGGAGAACCACAGGGCCAGTGTTATGTCCATAAATGTTTTGGAGTTGGGGACCAATTGTAATATTTCCACATTTACTGATGACACCAAACTGGGTGACAATGCAAGTAGTGAGGGTACAATAATTTAGACAGACCAAGTGAATGGATTAGAACATGACAGATGGAATACAATGTAAAGAAGTATAAAGTTATTCACTCTGATGGAAAAACAGAAAGGTAGGATGAATCTTAAATGGAGACAGCAGGTATCAGGATCGGAGTGTCCTTCTGCATGTGTATTTAAATGCTTACACATAATTGCAGCAAACAGTGAGAAATATACGTTGGCAATCATTTCATGGATATCTGAATACATAAGTAAAGATGTTTCGCTGTTTTGTGTAGAGCACTGGAGTACTGTGTACAGTTTTGTTCTCTTTAGCCAATGAAGGATATATTTACCATACATAAAGTATAACAAATTCACCAGATTAATCGCTGGGATGGTGGGATAGTTTTCTGAGGAGACTGCGAAGAAATGGTCTATATTCTCTGGAGTTTCAAGAGATTATCTCATTGAAACTTACAAAATTCTCACAGTATATGCACGGTGGATATGGATTGGTTGTTTCCCCTGGCTGGTTCCTGTAGAATCAGGGACATATTCTTAGGATAAAGGACAGACACCATTTAAGACTGAGATGTTGAGGGCTTTTTACATTCAGGGTGTGGTGAATCTTTCTTGTAGATAATTCCTAACCAACCACTAGACACTATCCATTAGGCCAATTATCTCATGTATTTGACAACAATAACTTGTATTTATTTAACATCTTTAATGCAGTAAAAATTCTCAAGGCACTCCACAGGAGCATCACCGAACAAAATTTGACACCAAGCTATAAGGAGATATCAGGGAAAGCGCCTAAATGGTTAATTGAAGAAACAATTTTTAAGGAGATGCTTAAAGAAAGAGAGACAGAGGTGAGGTGGCGAAGAAGTTTATAGGAGGAATTCCGGAGCTTTGAGCCAGATAGATAAAGGTACAGCAACCAATACTTAAGCAATCAGAATCAAGAATACACAGGAACTGAGGGAGTTCAGAGATCTCAGGGGGGTGCAGGACTGAGGAGGTTACATCTATAGAGGTTATATAATTAGAGAAGTCATAAATTAATTTGAAAACAAGGATGAACAAAGAACAGTATAGTATGGGAACAGGCCCTTCAGTCTTCTGTCCTTATCCCTCTATTCCCTGCCTATTCATGTATCTGTCAAGATGCCCCTTAAACGTAGAGAATTTTAAAAGTTAAGCTTTGATGGACTGGGAACCAACATGGGTCAGTTAGCTCAGGGATGATACATGAATGGAAGTATCCAAGGAACTTAATCTTAAATGAACTTCAGCAATTTATATCCATTTCTGGTATCTAATATTGAATATTTCTCAAAAATCAGAACATCCATTAATGGTGAATTGTTGTGATACCATTAAATTATTTTTATAATTCCCATAAACAGATGCAGAAACTGCACCTACCTTTTCAAAAACAGCCCACAGCTGTGCAACAAGTACCTCATTCTCCTTCTTCTACATAGAAACAAATCAAGTTTCGGTTACATTATTGAGAAAATGAAGTATCAGTAATCCTCAGGTAACAAAGCATCCAACAGGATCTGGACCACTATTCAGGCTTGGCCTGCTAAGTGACAGATAACAATCAATAACATTACTGAACCCCACAACAGGAATAGGCAGGCATTTATCACTGACCAGAAATGTAACTGGACCAGACACATAAATACAGTGGCTGCATAAGCAGGTCACAGGTTAGGAATTGTGGAGTAAGTAACTCACTTCCTGACTCTACATAGCTAGCACCATTTACAAGGTTCAAGTCAGGAATTATGGAATACTCACCAATTGCCTGGATAAGTGCAGCTCTAGTAATTCTCAAGAAGCTTGGCAGCATCTCCAATTATATAACTTGCTTGATTGGAATTCTATCCCACCTTATACATTCACTGCCTTCACCATTGACACACAGCGGAAGGAGTATGTACCATCTGAGACAAATTGCAACAACTTGCCAAATCTTCTTCAGCAGCACCTCCTCACCTTTATTAATAGGTGTGGAAGATGCGAAGGAACACTATCACTTGAAAGTCATCCTCCAAGCCACACACCATTCTGACCCAGAACAATACCGGCACTCTTTGCCTGCTGGTAGGTCAAAATGTGGGTTTTCCTTTCCAAGGGGCACTTACATCACATTAATTGTAACAGTTCAAACTTAACTACTCTAAGGCAATAAATGTTGGCTTTGCAATGCCTATACCCTGAGAAATAAATAAAATATTCAAACAAAGAAGCTGAGCCAATAAAGTTGTGGATCTTCTTCAGTACCCAGGCGAAAATCTATGGCTATATTCAGAATACAAGATATTCCATACCTGACTTTTACTTACTCAACCAAGTTGTTGGAAAGTCATATTAAAATGGATACAAGCCTTTGTGTCAGGAAAGGGAAACTATTGCTAGTAGTGGTGCTTACTATTTAACTAATGAAGCTTACTCACATAGTGAGTGATATGATGAGGGTCTTCAGTTATGGGTAGAGAGTGAAGAAGATTTCTGGGTAATTATAAGGGGCTTTGATGGAATAGATGGGGAAAAATTACTTCTGTTGGAAGAAGGGTCAATAATCAGAGGACAGACATTTGATATAGAGATAAAATAAAAACTGAGAGTAGGGTTAGGCCAAACAGCCCTTGAGGCTGTTGTGCTTCATAAACCTAATTCTATCACAGGATGATCTTGAATCACAGCTCCCAATTTTCCTCCCAATCCTCATTCTTGAATGCCCAAAAATCTATCTATTTAGCTCTGATTTAAACATACTCAATGATTGAGCATCCTCAAATTTCTGAGGTAGAGAATTCCAAAGAATCACAACGATCTGACTGAAGAAATTTTTGTGACATACAACAGAAGAAACATAGGAAAGTCAAGGAAACATTTTTATAAAATGAATTATGATCTTATCATACTACGTAGGACAACTGGTTTGTGTTGATTTGTGAATAGTTTGTTGTGCTGTGATCCAAATATTAGAGTGGTTACCAGTTCTTTGCAATGTGCCTGCAGCTGACAAACTTTCTCCTGTGCATCCCTTCCTGTGGTCTTTGCTTCTTCCAAATCTTCCAACATACTTCTTAAACTGCGAAGTGAGCTTTGAGAACTGAAAATCAGAACAGACAAGTTCATTGTGTTAAAGTTTGAAGAAACTGAAATTCTTTTGTTTAATTTTTTCACACTGTGGCCCCAAGACACAAATCCCTCACGTGTGAGCTTTGGATTAGATGGATAAGTACAATATATGTTTAGAGATAGTAGGAACTGCAGATGCTGTAGAATCCGAGACAACAAGGTGCAGAGCTGGATGAACACAGCAGGCCAAGCGGCATCATAGGAGCAGAGAGGCTGACGTTTCGGGTCTAGACCCTTCATCAGAAATGGGGGAGGGGAAGGGGGTTCTGAAATAAATAGGGAGAGAAGGGGAGGCGGATACAAGATGGATAGAGGATAGGATAGGTGGAGAGGAAACAGACAGGTCGAAGAGGCGGGGATGGAGCCAGTAAAGGTGAGTGTAGGTAGGGAGTTAGGAAGGGGATAGGTCAGTCCAGGGAGGACGGACAGGTCAAGGGGGTGGGATGAGGTTAGTAGGTAGGAGATGGGGGTGCGGCTTGAGGTGGGAGGAAGAACAGGTTAGGGAGGCGGGGACGAGCTGGACTAGTTTTGGGATGCGGTAGGGGGAGGGGAGATTTTGAAACTTGTGAAATCCACATTGATACCATTGGGCTGCAGGGTGCCCAAGTGGAATATGAGTTGCTGTTCCTGCAACCTTCGGGTGGCATCGTTGTGGCACTGCAGGAGGCCCAGGATGGACATGTTGTCTGAGGAATGGGAGGGGGAGTTGAAATGGTTCGCGACTGGGAGGTGCAGTTGTTTATTGCGAACCAAGCGTAGGTGTTCTGCAAAGCGGTCCCCGAGCCTCCGCTTGGTTTCCCCAATGTAGAGGAGGCCACAACGGGTACAGCAGATGCAGTATACCACATTGGCAGATGTGCAGGTGAACATCTGCTTGATGTGGAAAGTCTTCTTGGGGCCTGGGATGGGGGTGAGGGAGGAGGTAAGGGGGCAGGTGTAGCACTTCCTGCTTTAGCAGGGAAAATTGCCGGGTGTGGTGGAGCTGGAGGGGAATGTGGAGCGGACAAGGGAGTCACGGAGAGAGTGGTCCCTCCGGAAAGCAGATAAGGGTGGGGAGGGAAAAATGTCTTTGGTGGTGGGGTCGGATTGCAGATGGCGGAAGTGTTGGAGGATGATGCATTGGATCCGGAGGTTGGTGGGGTGGTACGTGAGGATGAGGGGGATTCTTTTTTGGTTGTTATTGCGGGGACGGGGTGTGAGGGATGAGTTGCGGGAAATGTGGGAGACACAGTTGAGGGCGTTCTCAACCACTGAGGGGGAGAAGTTGCGGTCCTTGAAAAACGAGGACAACTGAGATGTACGGGAGTGGAATGCCTCATCCTGGGAGCAGATGCGGCGGAGGCGAAGGAATTGGGAATAGGGGATGGCATTTTTGCAGGAAGGTGGGTGGGAGGAGGTGTATTCTAGGTAGCTGTGGGAGTCGGTGGGCTTGAAATGGATATCCGTTTCTAGGTGGTTGCCCGATATGGAGACAGAGAGGTCCAGGAAGGAGAGAGAGGTATTAGAGATGGTCCAGGTAAACTTAAGGTTGGGGTGGAAGGTGTTGGTGAAGTGGATGAACTGTTCGAGCTCCTCGTGGGAGCACGAGGTGGCGCCGATACAGTCATCAATGCAATGGAGGAAGAGGGGGGTTAAGGGCCAGTGTAGGTACGGAAGAGGGATTGTTCCACGTAACCTACAAAGAGGCAGGCGTAGCTTGGGCCCATGCGGGTACCCATGGCCACCCCTTCTGTCTGTAGGAAGTGGGAGGAATTGAAAGAAAAGTTGTTGAGGGTGAGGACGAGTTCAGCTAAGTGGATGAGGGTGTCAGTGGAGGGGGACTGGTTGGGCCTGCGGGACAGGAAGAAGCGGAGGGCCTTTAGGCCATCTGTATGGGGAACGCAGGTGTATAGGGACTGGACGTCCATGGTAAAGATGAGGTGCTGGGGACCGGGGAATTGGAAGTTCTGGAGGAGGTGGAGGGCGTGGGTGGTGTCACGGACGTAGGTAGGGAGTTCCTGGACCAAGGGGGAGAAAATGGAGTCCAGATAGTTGGAGATAAGTTTGGGGGCAGGAGCAGGCGGAGACAATGGGTCGACCAGGGCATTCAGGTTTGTGGATTTTGGGAAGGAGATAGAAGCGGGCGGTGCGGGGTTGGGGAACAATGAGGTTGGAGGCCGTGGATGGGAGGTCACCTGAGGTGATGAGGTTGTGGATGGTTTGGGAGATGATGGTTTGGTGCTCGGGGGTGGGGTCATGATCAAGGGGGCGGTAGGAGGAGGTGTCAGAGAGTTGGCGTCTGGCCTCGGCGATGTAGAGGTCAGTGCGCCATACTACAACTGCGCCTCCCTTGTCCGCGGGTTTTATGGTGAGGTTGGGATTGGAGCGGAGGGAGCGGAGGACTGCACGTTCTGCAGGGGAGAGGTTGGAGTGGGTTCAAAATCTCCCCTCCCCCTACCGCATCCCAAAACCAGTCCAGCTCGTCCCCGCCTCCCTAACCTGTTCTTCCTCCCACCTATTCCCTCCTCCCACCTCAAGCCGCACCCCCATCTCCTACCTACTAACCTCATCCCGCCCCCTTGACCTGTACGTCCTCCCTGGACTGACCTATCCCCTCCCTAACTCCCCACCTACACTCACCTTTACTGGCTCCATCCCCGCCTCTTCGACCTGTCTGTTTCCTCTCCACCTATCCTCTCCTCTATCCATCTCACAATATATGTTTATCCTGTTTTGTACTTCAGCAAGGATACGTTGACCTTGGAGAGGATGCAGTGCAGATTCACCAGAATGATGCAGGGGCTTAAAAGGCTAAATTATCAAGGCATAGGTTGCATAAGAGTAGACCTGGATGCACTTTAGCATAGAAGATTAAGGCGTGGTCTAACTGAGATGATCAGAGTTTAGGAAAGTTAGAGAAAAACTTTATTCTGGTGGAGGAGTCCAAAACAAAGAGGAAGAACCTTAAAATTTAAGCTAGACCATTCAGGGGTTGTCAGGATGCAAAACACACAGTGAAATATGGAATGTTTCTCCATAAAAGGCTATTTACAGAATCACAGAATTGTTATGGTGCAGAAGGCCCATTGTGCCTGCATCAGTTCTACTACCTGGTATACCAATCTGCTGTGGTTTCCTCATATCCTCCTGCACACCATTTCCATCCAAATATTCATCCAATGCCCACTTGAATGCCTCAATTGAATCTGCCTTCACCATATTTCCAGTGTGTTCAATACAACTGAACACTCGATATGTGTAAAGTGTTTTTTTAATCTCACATCACCCTTGCTTTGTTTGCATAACGCTTTAAATCTGTGCCCTTTCATTCATTTTTTTCTTTTACAAAGGGAAACAGCTTCTCCCTATCTACTCTGACCAACCCGCTGATGATGCTGAAAACCTCGATCAAATCTCCTCTCAGCCTTTAGGCCGGGGTCCAAATGGAAATGTTGAAATGGAGGCTGATAGGATGGGTTAGGTGCACGGATGGATGAACAGTGGCTCCAAGAATCCAACCTTCACAAATGGCTGCCCTAATGACAAAATGTTTGTTTGGAGTGGGCAGGGGCAATTAGAAATTAGGACTAGGGTGAATTAAGGAGGATGCCAGTATGGAAGCTGGCTAATGGTGAATCTGACTCAGGGATCAGGCAGTCTCTGAAGTTTAAAAAGGAAGAATATGAAACATCCTTCTAGTTCTCATCTCCCCTCATTCTCCACACACTCACTATTGCCCAACCAAGCCAATCCATGATCCCTGTACCCCATAGCCCTAATATGTTCCAAATGAACATATGCCACCTTCACCAACACATACCTTGGTCCAAGTCAATCTATGCCCTTCAACAAGTAGGAATTCATTGTCTCACATCAAACAGTCCATTAACAATTGAAACTCTTAAATCAAAATATAACGTGGCAGTTACCCTGCTGTGATATTAAATGATTGTGAAGTTAGTGGTGCAATAATAATCTACTAATTGAAACCCTCAGAATTATGTTGACAGAGTGAAATAACAGCATTTTTCAAACATTTCTGACATCTTTTTCAAAGACTTAAAGGGATTAAAGACAGGATTCGATGCCTTGATAGGTCTTTTTCATAGCTCCCTTTGACTGGTTCCCTTGACACTTTAGACAAGTCCTCTGGATATCTGGATATCTGCCTTTGACAGCTCCCTTTTAAATGTTGCCTTGATACTTTTGACAGGTCCCTTTGAAAGATACTTCTGACAAAGTTAATTAGACAGGTTGATTGGCAGTTCCAGTGAACTTGACAGTCATGTGTTTATGTGCTTTTTACACACATTTATGCAAACTTTAACAAGTTTAAATGAAACCTTACCTCCATTAAATGATACGTCACCTCTACCCAAAATACCTTACCTCCCACAAAGGTGCCCTGGAACAAAATCCAAGTGCTATCCTTGCTGTATAAACAAATCCAAAGTTCAGACCTGTTCTTGTCAGGTCTGATGTTCACACCAGGGGTATTTGATAGTCTAAGACCATCAAAATTCTACTTCAGTGCATGCATCTGATGATTTAAATGGCCAGCTGCATCTGTAAAGCATACAAACGTAAAATGTACCCAAACCCACTTCAGCCTTTGTGACAGAGGGCATGGTGAATAGTTTTCTAACCACTCTGCCATTTTGCTATGATGTTGCTCATCGTGACAAAAAAATCATCTATTTTGTTGGGTAAGGGTAAATGTTATAGATTCAAGTTATGTAGATGGAGTTAAGATGTAACATATCATGATCAATTTGAATGTGGAATAGGCTCAAGGGACTTCCTCCTGTTTCTATGCAGATGACAATGCAGCATAGTCTGGAAATGTTCATAATCATTTCTAGAAGAATGCTTGATTGTTGATCAGTAATAGAATCTTCGATAATTCTTCCCCTGCCTACTGTGAAGGGATTAAGTTCAGTTATGACATGTGAACCATTGCCTTGACTGAAATCAACAATCACAAGAGAGTCCAGGGATCTTGAGCTTTTTGTGAACTGTAAGGATTAGTATTACATTTATCGATAAAGTTACTGGTCAACAAAGAAACTTCAACCAAATATGATCGTGTCTCAAATAAGAGATGACAAGGTGTAGAGCTGGATGAACACAGCAGGCCAAGCAGCATCAGAGAAGCAGG